AGATAGAAGAGTTTGTTGAATCTGACGTGACATGTTCGTACGAACCCTTTGTACGAACAAAAGTAAGAGAAATTTAGGAGAAGAATACGAACATGTTTTTACATGAGGTCCATTGATTTGAATGGTTGTTTATTTGGACCGGAGCGCAGCAGAGCAGAGACGCATGTAGTTTAAACTGGGGATTAGAAGCCAAAACACTTTTTAATAATCAGTAATCATATTTTTACATTTATTTATTTTTTTATTTTAATTATATAGCACATTTAAGAACAACTACCGTTGGCCAGTTGTTTACATCAATACCCAGTTTTTAATTTCAGCACATATTTAAAAATTGTTTCATAAAAATGTTATACATGTTCTATATAGTCTATAAGGTTCTATCTATTGTCATTTTTTAATTTTTTTAAATGAAATCAGAGTAACTCGTGTACACTATTCCATAACATGGCGCAAAAAAACTCAATTTGATGTTTTTTTATCATTACATATTAAAACGTAGCATGCCAATGTTCTCCCAGGGTTAATAATGAAAGTCATGAAAGATGCTTGGTTCAGCCTATAAACGTGTAAAAACAAATTTAAAAAGGAAAAAAAAGCATTACAGTGCAGGCATTGYACCAGGAAACTGGGTCATCCCTATGTTCTATGGTACAAYGCCTGAACTGAAATTTTTTTTGTGTCAAACATTTTTGAAGGGAAGCCACGCAACTTTCATGAATTTCATTACAAAACCTGCGAGAACATAGGCACCAGAGTACACAGGGATGACCCAYATTGAACTGGGGTCTCCTCAAATCTTCTACTGTTAACAGATTAAAAGTGACGTAGAATTTTACCAACTAGACTCTTACAAGAAATACGTATTCTGGATATTTTCAATCCGTATAAAAAAGGGTTAAAAACCGTTTGACAGATGATGAAAAAAATTGAAGCAGAAGTTTTTACAGCAAGAAGCACACCAGAAACACTGTTCATTTTCACTCTGTTTTCTAGAACCTCGAAAAAACATCCAAAAGAGAAGTTTAACAGAGAAACCAGGTGAGGAGTGCAGGTACTGGCAGCTTTCTGTCGGGTTTGTTTGGATCCAGAGAAACACACCTTGATGATGCTCATGTAGGTGTAAAATATCAAGACTGCAGGAAAAACTATCAAGAGAAACGTGTYAACAAGTCCATAAATGTTGATTACTGTGATGTTGAAGCATGCCAGCTTTACGATGGAGGAGTTGTCGCAGTAAACCTTGTTGATGATGTTGCCACACAGCTGCAGACTGGCAGTCATTGATACTAAAATTACAACAGTAAAAAAAGGGTAAAACCACATGATAACAACAAGTCTAACAGTCTTTTTAGATGTCACCAGGGTGTTATACTGCAGAGGAAAACAAATGGCAACATATCTGTCATAAGACATGACAGCTAGAGTTAAAAACTCCACACTTCCATATGAATACAAACAAAAATCCTGAAGGAAACAGAGCGGAGCAGAAACAGTGTGAACGTCTGACTGAATCTGAATCAGCAGGAATGGAAACAAGCCTGTACTACCATACAG